CAGCCTAGAAAATTCCATCACACCCGCAGTCCCTGAGTTACTCTTAGCACATGCTGGGCTCTAGAGCAGGGGAGTTTATCTTCTATGGGGTCCCATGACTCTCAAGGGTCTGCTCCCAAGAACAGTGTACACAAAAGTCCAAGCTCCCTGGACTTTTTCCTGGTACAAATTGTTGAGAATATTCATGCTTTTTTTGGTAAGAAAGTATAAGGAGACTACATGTGTTTGGTGAGGATCAGAAACCAGGACTGGGTCAAGATATTAGATTCAGGGAAAAGAAGTCAAGGAGAAGTGGGGGCGGGGGGGGGAGGGGATACTGCCTCCTATGACTGTGCCATCTTCACTCCTGATCACCCTCTGTCTCGCAGACGGAGGAGGACAGGAAGAACCTGCTGCGGCTGCAAGATCTAGTGGACAAGCTGCAGCTGAAGGTCAAGGCCTACAAGCGCCAGGCTGAGGAGGCGGTGAGTGCCCCTCCTGGGGACTGGGTCTGGAGGATGGGCACAGGAAAGAAGGTCCTCCAGGCTGGGAGGCTGAGAACCCCACAGCCCCTCTCACCTCATCTCCCTACCCCACCCCACCCCCACCCCCCCACAGGAGGAACAGGCCAACACCAACCTTTCCAAGTTCCGCAAGGTGCAGCATGAGCTGGATGAGGCAGAGGAGCGGGCAGACATCGCTGAGTCCCAGGTCAACAAGCTTCGGGCTAAGAGCCGCGACATTGGCACCAAGGTGGGCCCCTCCCCCAGGCTTCATTTGTCATCCCGGTGGCAGGCACCCAGTCACCCAGTTCGTGGGCCTCTCAGACAGAGCACCCTCACACCAGGGATGCCTCCTTCTCATCCATCCCCCACACTGAACCATAAAATCCCAGTCTGTTGAGTCCGTCTTTCCTGAATCTTGTTGCCACTGATTTGGGCAAGGTAATTCAGCCCTCTGGGCTCTCTAAGATTCTTCTAGCTCTAACTTTCAATTCCAGCCCTAGGGGCATCAGCAATCCTAAAAGACCCCAATTTATTTACACCTAGTATGTCTCCTTTTCCCCCCAAATGCCATTTTCCACTTCTGTTCCACCTAATTTAGCCTATGACCTTGTAACTCAAACCCAAAATGGACATCGCAGAGGATTCCCTTGTCTTCACCCATGTAGCCTCCCTCTGGCTGACCCCAGAACCCTGCCCTCCACACAGACCCCTTGGAAGTACATCCCCCACAAGGGGCTCCATCACATCACACAGCCATCCTTGACCCCATCTGGTACTCCAGTCTCCCCTTTATTTTTTGAACCCCATCCCTGCCCAACTCCCACCTCTCCAAAACTAATCAGGGCTTTATTTCCTTTCAGAAGGGCTTGAATGAGGAGTAGCTTTGTCACATCTTCTCCATCTGCCCAGCCCTGAGGGTGCCAATGAAGCCCCCAGTTCCAGAGCCCTGTACAGCAGCTCCTTTGGAGGAAGCAGAATAAAGCAACTTTCCTTGAAGCTAAGATCTTGCCTTCAGACTCTTCTTCCTTTCCTGCCAGCCATGGGGTCATGCGATGTTGGAAGAAGTGGGGCTCTAGGGGAGGAGGGGCAACTTCAAAGGCCAGGCTAGAAGGCCTCTCTGCAGGAGCCTGTGAGGCTCTGAGCACTGTCTGTGCAGTTCTGGCCCAGTGAGCTCTGCTTTACCTCCTCCACTGGGAATGGAATAGAGATGGCTTCTCTCCTCCCAACCCTCTCTCTGGCCCAAAGGCCCACAGGGTTGAAGGAGATTTAGGGAAACTGTAAAGGTCATCTAGGGCACCCTGAGCCATATGCTATGGTCCTACAGCCCCAGTTCTGATGAACACCACCCAGCAACACTGATACAACCAGGGCTGGGCCGTGGGGAGGAAGTTTAGTTTTCTGGACCCACTGAGGTGTAACCTCGTTGGACAGGTGAGGTAGTGACCCTCTAAGCCCTGGCCCAAGGCAAGTCTCTGAGAGGGCACAAGGGCTCACCCTTCCAGACATAGGTACCACCATCTCCCAACCACCCCTAGAGGCCAGACCCACCCCGCCCTGCCCCCCAACCACAGCAGAAGATATGCACCCTCAGCCTACCTTCCTCTCCTCATCCCCCCTGGGGCTCAGGCCGCTTGGTCCAGGATGCTCCTTATTTATCCCTCATTTCTCTCTACTGTAGCTTGCATTTCCAAGACCTTCCTCCTCTGTGCTGGCTGGAAGGTGGGGGGTTCTTTGGCCCATTTATGGCAGCCATCTTGAGGGGAAGCCAGGCAGGGGAGGGACTGGGGAGAGTCATGTATGAGCAGGAACCTTGGGAGAGGAGAAAGGATGGCTCCCTGGAGGGCTGGGAAATGTAGAAGGAGCACAGACCCCCTTCTACTAACCAGACCTAGTACCCCCAACTCCCCATCCCACCCCCTGGTGTTGCTGCCACAGCTGGGCCACTTAGGATAGGCCTGGGATTGTGGGCCAAAGAGGGCAGGAGCTTGGGAGGCAATGGGACTGTCAGCCTTCTGCTGGGAATCCAGGAAGCCTTGGGTTAGTCCTGGACTGAATCTCCCCTTGACTTAGGTTGGGTTCTCTAGAGAAGCAAAACTAGTGAAGCTTATATATATATATATATATATAAGTTGTAGAGGCTGGCAAGTCCCAAGTCCATGGGGGTCAGGCTTCAGGCTGGAGGCTTCTCCTGACTCACATAGCTGCAGGGGCTGATAAACTCAAGAGCAACAGGTCAGACAGCAGGCCACTCGTTCACGGACTACAGAGGCTGATGAAACCAAGATTGGCAGGTAAGACGGCAAGCTGCTGGCTCAAGTCCCAAGAACCAGAGGTTAGATGATGACAAGCTGGATGCAGGATCCAGAGCAAGCAAGAGAGCTTTGCCAGAACGTCCATATATATATTGGATGCAGGCCACAACACCCCTGAGGAAACTCCCCTTACAACTGATTCACAAATCGTATCATGGAGGATGACTACATCATTACATAACTGCCTAACAACATCATCACATAACTGCCAAACCACTGAGAATCATGGACCAGCCAAGCTGACACACAACCTTAACCATCACACACCCCAATCCACCATGCACAACCACTCAACCAGCTCCTGCTCCATATCCCCCTCTGAGCTCTGAATGCAGCAGCCCAAGCAAGGGTCCCATCCGAGGAAGGAGGAGATGCTAGTATTAGAGAAGAGGAGGAGAGAAGAGGGAAATGGAGTAGGGAAGGAAAAAGGAAGGACCTGATGAGAGTGGCAGTGGAGGGAGAGATGAAGAAATGGGGGACAGGGTGACCAGAGGAAACAAACAAAGAAAAAAGATACCAGAAATGAGAAGGATTCAGGAAGACCCACAGGCCCTGCCACTTTTCTCCCACACCTTCCTCCATTCTCTCTCCCTGGGATCATCCCTCTTCCTAGGAATAGACCGGAGAGCAATGGAGAGATAAATAGAGAAAAGAGAGACACACTAGAAAAGGAGGTGCAGGGGAAACCCAGAGACTATAAGCAACCAGAGCATAAGAGAGAACAAGAGAAACAGATGCTGAGAGAAAGGTCGGGGACTGGACAACAGACAGCAGGGCTCAAGAGAGTGCTGGAGGTTGAGCCACGGGAAAAGGAGGAATGTGAGAGGGAACAAGAGAGGAGAAAATGAGAGTGAGCCTCAAATATAGAAGCTTGAAGAGTTGAAGGAGGCTATGGGGAGCAAAGAAAAGAATCCTGGGTCACTTAGATGGAAGGGGAGTCAGGGAAGCCAAAGAACAGTGAGACTAGGGAGAGGTGGACAGAGACCCTGGAGCAAGGTGTAGAGGCAGAGACCGAGAAAGGTGGGGCTCAGAGAAGGCAGGGAGTCTGGAGACATAACTATGTCAGACCCTGAGATAGGCAGTGACATGGGCGTCAGGAGAAACAGCCCAGGTCCGACTTTGAGACGGGGAATCAGGCAGAGGCAAAGAAAGGACAGACACACAGACAGAGATACATGGAGCCAGGCCAAAGAGAGGTGAGCAGGAGACCAGCCCTGCCTCCCTCTTCCCCTCACCTGTCACCGAAGTCTCGTGTCCTCATACTCCAGGACTTCCTGCACAATGAGGAGCTAGTTTGGAAGGCAGCTGAGGGAGGAAGGAGAACAGAGATGTGAATGCCAGGGGAGAGGAGAGAGCCTTAGGAAAGAAAACCCATTGCTGTCGAGTCAATTCCGACTCAGAGCAACCTTATAAGACAGAGTAGAACTGCCTCCGTAGGGTTCCCAAGGAGCAGCTGGTGGATTTGAACTGCGGACCTTTTGGTTAGCAGCTGAGCTCTTAACCATGGGAAGGAAAGAGGAGAGCAAACCAGGCCAGACCAGGAAGTAGAGCCTCAGGACCAAGTTAACTTCTTTCTTCTTCCTCCTTCCATAGGAGACAGTGGGAACTACCTGCCTGCCACTCACTCCCCGCCCCACCTATACCGAATCTGTCCTGCTCAGAACACAGGGTTCCCTGAGGACAAAGCCTGGTCTTTGTCACCTGGACTCGACCCAGCCTGACCTGGTGTTCTCAGCCCCTTGTCACGTCCCCAGGGAGATGGGAAACAGGCAGTGACGCACTGGGCCATGGACTAACCCCCCAGTTTGCATACTGGGGCCTCAAGTGACCTAGAGCTGGGGACAGGTGGCCTGCATCCCTTGGGGGTACAATTTGGCATATGTACCTATGGGGTCAACCCCAAGCTTGTTTGTGAATGTCCCTCCAAGGGCACTGAATATAGGGTACAAGTTCCCTGGGAGAGAGGATATGTCTTTCTGAGCCCAGTAAGGGGGCAGTGGAAGTCCTAGAGAGTTGAGACCTTGTCAGAGAAGCCACATCTTCAATGGAAAGTTCTCCTACCCGGAGAAGCTGACTCCTGTCCATCCTACCCACCTTCACACTCTAAAGCTATATTGAGAGTTGACAGTAGATGGGGTGAGAGGGGGGAGCCAGAGAGTGTCCCCGGGTGTGTGTGGGCGGGGGGAGGCAGAGCCGGGGAGCCTGGCTTTGTTCCCTGAACACAATGTCCACTTAGTCATAACAGGCACGGCCTGCTGAAGATCTGACACCTACAGCCTCTAAGAGGTGACTTTGTAGGAGGATGGGGAGGGGGCCCAGGGTGCTCGAGGACACCCACAAAGATGGGGGTGTGAGTGTGGGCCCCAGGAGGGCTGGGAGGGAACACCAGAATTATACCTGGGGAGGGGTGACAGACTGCAGAAGTCCACCCCCACGCCCATGGAATGCAGCGCCCGAGGCCCAGCTGGTGTAAATCCCCAGGCCTGCCTGGCACCCTAGACTTCCTCAGAGGCACCTGTACCCTCTGGCAGCCCAGAGGGGCAGAAGAGAGCAGCCCGCCATCTGCACTCCACCCACTCCCTCAGGCCCTGAGATTAACACCTCCTGCCTCTCTCCACCCCTACCCCCACCCACCCCACACCAGGAGCAGGGCATAGCAGTGGGAGGGTAAACGCCTATGTGTGCAAATGCGAGTGTGCAAATGTGTGTATTAGTGTGCATAAACACAAGTAGAAAATCTGCACGTGTGAGGCTCAGAATGGACGTGTATGTGTGGCTGAGTGTGAGGGCATATGTCTACACTCGAGGGTAGTGGACTTTGGTTTGTGTGCAAATCTGCCTCCAGTGGTATGGGAGAATCTCTTCCACTGTTTGAGGGGCTGGACGACCGCCACTGTATCAGGAGCATCAGGGAAGGCACTGGGGGCTCCAGATGTGTCCCCAAAGCAGGGCAGCTTTAAGTCCTAGGAAGGACGCCTGCCTGGAGACATGGGGAACAGAAGAACACCAGGTACAGCATTTGTGGAGAGTGAGGGCAGCACAGAAATGTTTTTCCTGGCAAAGGGAAACTGAGTCATGCGGCTGGACAAAGACCTCTTCCCGGGCCTCAGGGCTCCAGCTCCCAGTCCCCAGCACTGTGGGACTCCAGGTCTGACAGAGGGAAGAAATGCTGCTAGCCTGGGGCTGTGTGAGGACAGGCCAGAGGGCAAAGGAGGAGAGGGTGGGGAAGAAGGGAGGGGATCCTGTGGTTGGGGGACAGGGAACAAGCATTTGGCTATAGGAAAAGGTGACCCTCACCCAGTTGTG